TGATTCTGAGATTGAAGCCAGAACCGACTCTGATTCTGAGATGGAAGCAAAACCCGACTCTGATTCTGAGATTGAAGCCAGAACCGACTCTGATTCTGAGATTGAAGCAAGAACCGACTCTGATTCTGAGATTGAAGCCAGAACCGACTCTGATTCTGAGTTTGAAGCTAGAACTGACTCTGATTCTGAGATTGAAGCTAGAACCGACTCTGATTCTGAGTTTGAAGCTAGAACTGACTCTGATTCTGAGTTTGGAGCTAGAATTGACACTGATTCTGAGATTGAAGCTAGAATTGACACTGATTCTGAGTTTGGAGCCAGAACCGACTCTGATTCTGAGTTTGGAGCCAGAACTGACTCTGATTCTGAGTTTGAAGCTAGAATTGACACTGATTCTGAGATTGAAGCAAGAGACTGGACCCAATGTATACAAATTGAAAGGTTATCTTTGTCAAATGTCTAAATGCAATCAAAGAGCACTTAAAGATTTTACAATGGTTTTTGGCTGGGTGTAGGAACAGAGACCTCTGTTGTTGTTGTGGAGCCTTAGAAAGTTGCTATTATTCTAGATTGATATAATGCTTTGTGTATTATAACGATTCTTAAAAAAATAGTTTTTTTAACCAATAACGTTATACAATAACTTTATGCATTTTCTTTCTTTCCTTGGAGGAAAGAACAACTAAAGACAAAAACACTAGCCTGGCATGAACTGGTGGTTAGGGCCTTGGCATGGCCTGGTGGTTAGGGTGCTCGACTCATAATCTATGGATCGAAGATCCGAATCCCCTCACCGCTCTTTTAACCTTGGGGGGATGTTATAATGTGATGGTCAATCCCACTGTTCGTTGGTAAAAGAGTATCACAAGAGTTATTAGTGTTGACTAGCTGCCTTCCCTCTAATCTATAACTACTAAATTAGGGACAGTTAAAGGTTACAAATCTCATATCGTTAGAAAGATCTTTGTCTGAGGAGTACAGATTACAAATTGGCATTTTAATTCAGAATCACTTCACCTGATATTTCTCTTACTCAAACTTTTTAATGCAACGAGTATGCTACACGATAGCACAATGTCGTAGTCATCACGTGACGATTGAATACGATTTCAACTTTTTTTTTTATCTGCAAAGTATTTCACACAAACAACATTTAACCCGCATGAAATTTCCTAAAAAATTAAGATTACAGTAAATACAATTCCTATGAACTTTCTCAACTTATTTTAGGTCTAATATACGCATGCGCAGTTCGTTCAAACCCAAATACTTATCAGAATGCGAATACGCATTCAGGTGTTTCTGCATATTCAGCTAAGTTTGCCATCATTACAACTTTACATTTACTTTACTTTGCAATAATTTATCTTAGGTTCGTTTCATAGATTGCTGTAAACGCGTTTTAGCTACTTTATTCTTTACTACCGGTTTTATTCTCCTTTTTTGTGAGTTTTTTTGTTTCAACTCGTACAATGTGTCATACACTGAATGCTCATACTGTGTTTACTATTATAATAACCATTACTATACTTTACGTGTAGTTTTATTAAATAAGGTTACGATACCTGAGTTTGTTTGTCTGACCGCATAATTTGTTTTTTCAAATAGACCAGGATTTATCGATATAACACACAATGCTTGCAAGAAAGCGTAGCTTAACGTTCGAGCGTGAAAATGATAGAATGAGGAACATTCAAGAGAAGAGCATGAAATATTTTGCGCGTCGCGACTAGTTTTCTTTTCAAAAGAACCGTAACTTTAAAACATTCAGTCACAAATTATATAGCTTGCTCAAAAAAAAAAAAGAACCGGGGCATGGCCAAGTGTAATAGCGTGTCCTATCTGTGAATCCGAGGATTCATGGTTCACGTCTCACGTTCCATACCTGTCGTGGGAGCGCTGCAAGAGGGGCGACAAAATTCACTATTCTGTAAATAAGAGTAGCCTAAATATTGGCGGTGGGTATTATTGATTAGCTGAACTTCTCTTTCGTCTATCAGTTTATATATCTTGCATATCTTTGCGCAAAAATCTAAAATTAAAACAACAACAACAACAACAACAAAATTCTGAAGCGCAACCAGACAACGAAGAGGTTGGGAATATGAAGGAACTCTCTTAGAATGTATATATGTCGAGGGCCCCTTTGCAGGACAGCATGATTGAGCACACGTTATCTAAACTGAGATGTGTACTATAAGACAATGATTTGATTTTAACTTATTATGGTCCAGAAAAGCTACTGTTATAAGGTTATATACATATGAAATATATTACTAGATGTACTTCCTCAGGGTCCTCGGATCTGTTCTGTTTTAAGAATAAATAAAACCAAAATTAAGAGTGACAAATAT